TATTTTACTTCTCATTTGACAAGCAGAAGAAGAAGATCACCATCAGTTAGGTGATTACCATTTTTGTTAATTAATTTATTAAGATTGGATTTTAAATAGTTAAATTTTAAATTAGTTTTTATTATAATTTGAAAAACTTGTTGTAATTTTAATTTTATTATTTTACCTAGCCTGATAAGGGTCTGATAAAAAAGAACAAAACCGGTTGCGAAAAAGTGAAAAATAAATATATAGTTATGCAGAGGTGATCTTATCTTTTCTATAGTAGTACCAATCCGCTAAAACACATTAACCTTTTTTTTTCACTAAGTAATATTTACTAAAATTTTTCTAGTGAATGGTAAAATTAAATATTAAAAAAACTTTGGATAAACAATTATTTAACGATACCTTCACCACATACTTCACCACAAAGATGCGATTGCTAAAGACATTTGCGCAATTAGCCACATTTGCAAACAATAGAAAATTAAAACGAGACAAATAAACATAATTTAAAGCCAAACGATCTTATTTTGCATAATTGTTTGAAAGCACAAACGAATACTTTTCATCTGAACGATGAAAATGTTCGCAGGGTATTATGGAATATTTCAACGGAACGATGGTTGCAATCAATTAAAATATCCTCCTGCATTTGCATTTTGAAAAAAAAATGAATGTATAAATATTATCACACAGTTTGCTATCTATAAAAATATGAGAGGAATATTGACATAGAGGAAAAGGACCAATAAAGAACTGCTCACAGAAACTAATCAATCGATATCTTCCCATGACAAAACTGTTGATGACGCAAACAACCAGGAAGTCTCTACAGAACAATGAATGCCTCGATAGTAGGCAGGAGACCACCAGATGGATAAATCGAATCAACAAAGATGGTGCTGAACTGCATGCAGATAACTAGAACGAAAGAGCCTAAATAATATAAGTAAAAAGATAAAAAAGACTGGTTAAAGAATGTAAAAACAACAGGAAAAAATGAAGTGTCTAATTAAAATTTGTAATATTATAATCATCTTATATTACATTGCCTGTACAAAACTAATATATTTTTTAATAACATTATTACAAATAAATCTGTTTTTAAGATAAAAAGCATCGGTTCTAAACAGTGAGGGATAATGACTACAGCCAGAAACATAAATGTAAATTATAAAAGTTTATAATTGTGGGTTGATGGTTGACTGTTGTGAATAATTGAAGAGAAGGTTGGTTGGGGTGATCAGTCAAAATAAAAAAGGAGAAATAAACAATTTCTCTTCAGGCCTTCATCAGGGCTGGAAAAAGGACCAGATAACAAACAATAGATATAATAACATTGAATAATATAGAATTAAGATTAAAAAAGTTGATAGTTATAGAATAATGATCTTTAGAATGATAACAGTAGCAGATAACTAAGAAATAAATAATAATAACTGCTTCAAAGTACGGACCAATGAAATAACCATAATAAAATATAAGGTAAGGTAAGAAATGAAAAAAAAATAGTAAACTAGAATAAAATGTAAAACTGCTATATGAATAAAAATATATAAAAATAATTTAAAATAAAATAAATAAATAAATAAAAATAAAGTGTAAACTGCTAACAGTTTTAAGTAAAACTCCTTGCTGAACACACTTTCCTGAAGAAGGCCTACAAACTCGGTTTGAAACGTTGGCTTTCAATAAAATAGTTTTGCCACTATTTAGTCCATTTATGACCGCCACCACGGATCATCTCCTTCCTTAATAATACAACGGTCAACTATTAAGTATTCTAAAATGAATCATGTCTGCCACTCCAGAACCGCTGATTTCAAAAATGCCAGCTGATTTAAAGAACATTAGGCCAGTAACAGAGGATCGGAATAGGATAAATATTGCAAAAAAATAGTGCGATTTTTTTTTTATTTTTTCAACTTGTAGGTATATAAAGCTTCAAACAAGTAAAAAGCCAAATTGCTAACGCGAGCAACCAAAGGAAAACTTTTTATAGCCAAAAAAGCCATATTTTTACACTTTTTCGCCTATAATCATAAACATTGCAGCGAAAGACCTATTCCCTAATAAATTAGAGAACGTAAAAATGTGCGTGGAATAAGAACCTAAATTTAAAATTTTGGTTAACAGGTGTATTCAAAAACTACGGTTAATGAACGCAGCTTTTTACCAAATTTCTAAAAACTGGGACATATTACTATAAATGACCCTGCAGCTTGAAAATGAGTTATATGAGCGGAAAAAACTGATTAAAGTTTACATTAAAACCCTCGCTTGCGATGAGGTTCATTTTTGGGTCCTGACTTCAGGTCTATTAAGAGGTTTTCAATTATGGATGATAAATAGTCACGACGCAATCATTTTTAAGGTTTTTATTGATGCCGACGTTTCAACCCAAGAATGTGGGCCATCATCAGGACGTGTTTCGAGCACTGTAGGTGTTCAAATAATCTTGAGTATGATGATGACCTACATATACTTGGGTTGAAACATCGGCACCAATAAAATCCTTAAGAATGACTGCGTCATGACTATTTATCATCCACAATATATAGAACAGTCGTTCATTCATTAAAAAATTCAATCAAATTTATTTAATCTTGAAAAGATTTCCAGCGTGCGCAACCCTAAGGTTCTGCCCCAATGCGCCGTATCGGTTTCATTGGCGAATGAAATGATGACGGTACGTGAATCTTGCCACAAACCAGTATCGAATAATATTAATAGAAAAGAGTGTAGATGTATAAATTTACGCCTGAAGAACCATAAGAAAATATAAGGAAGGAATTGGGTATTGGCCACGAAATTGAATATGGGTAAAGAATGTGGGAGGAGGGTGAATAGCATTTTGTGAAGCTATTACCCAACTCCTATTCAATACTCGTCGGTTCCCTTCGCGCCCGATAACTATTCACACTAGGCCCTGATATCATCTCAACTTGTTTTCTTTCAAATTATTTTTTTTTTCTCTTTCGATTTTATTATCCAGAGCGGTGTTACAGTGCACCTTTATTAACAAATGCCATTCTTTGAGAAGCTTTTCATAACGCTTTCAACAACACAGGCTGGTTGCATTTCTTGACAATATGAAACGAAAGAAAAGAAGATGAATACGAACGTTTGATAACGATAAGAAGTACATTAAAGTTAAAGAACAATAAAAAATCATTCAAAGTATTAAAGAATTATAAATTGGCTGTCGGTAGATTCTGTAGTTAGAAGACGCTCCTGAGGAACAGTCGGTGGTTGAAAACTGATTGGTTGGAAAACCTGGCGGTTGAATATACCTAGCCAGACGCTTTCGTTACTTTTTCTTCTGATTATCTCCTACCTCGCCTTTTGTAGCATATGGAAGAGGGAGGTTGTTCTAGAAGTACAAAATAAATTTCAACCAGGTCGGAGTCGAAGGAGGAACAAGCGTCACTACCATTAGCATTTTCGGCTATCACGACCTTCCTTCTTGAACAACCACTGTTAAAAAAAAAACACATCTTTACGAAGCACCGGACCCAAAAGACTTCTGGGGTAATAGTGTTTAACCTTTGTTTAAACAATCCTGTATTGATTCAATCTCAATTTTTTTTTCTAATTTTGTTTAATATCTTTAAGATTAATTCTATTAATTACAATTAATCAAAATTATTCTTAAAACGGTTCAAACATTGAATTATGTTTAACCTAAACTGTGGAAGATTTTCATTTTTAACAAAGAAAACAACGAGTCAGCTAAAAATGGATATAATAAAATTTTGCAAATTCTAAATTCTCAATTAAATTTATTTAAAACCTTCATACATTTTAATAAGGATTATAACTATCATTAAAAATTTGGAATACAAAAGACTAAGAACGAACCGGCAATAAAATAAAATATTTTTATCGCGATAAGATAAACGCATTTATGAAATTATTTTATATGTATATAACTAGAAACAAGATATTATTATATATTTTTTGTATTAATATAATAATTAATATTTGTATTCTATCAACATTATTTTGTCTAAAAAAAATTGAGTATAATGGCATTAGACAGAGATCTGATTTAAAGGATTTAGGTGCAGATCCAGAACAGAAGTTGTACGATTGAACTGATTAAAGTTAGAGTAGCGATTTTTAAACGAATTCTAAGGAGTTAAATAGGTTTTATTTTTACACTCTAAAGGGGAAAAAAACCCAAGTTGGATTAAGGTAATCTATCAGAGAGGAAATTCTTAGCATGACGTTAAAGCTTTGCGGTTTTACGTCATCTATCAATCATAAAAAGAGCTCCTAAATTTATTAGAGTGGTGAATAGATGGCTATTTTTTTAAAATGATTTTAAAAAAAACAAAATAAGAAATTAGTATTTAAAATAAAGTAACAAACAAGTGGGGAATATACTATATTCATTTAGTTTTATTTGGGTAATTATCTATTTTATTAATGATTTTCTTCACAATATGGATGAATTTTTTATTACTATGTAGGTATTATTAGTAACAATTGCTTTCCCAATACCGGAGGTAGAGAAGCTTTGAATTGATGCAAGATGTTAAAAAAGATTATAGAAATTTGCTCAAAATTGAAAATTTCCACTTGCGTTTTAGGTTCGAAACGTAAAGTAACAAATTACATTCTGTTTTTAGTTAAACCCAAGTGCGGAGACAAGTACAGCAAGAATTGAATTGCTAGAGTAAATATTAATAACATCAAAAATGTAAACTCTCTGGTTACTTATTATACTTAGTCCTGTCATAAATATTGTTACAAGTAAATATATACAGATTTCAACAGAAAAATTAATTTTTTTTTAAACTTTATTAGAAAATAAACTGTATATCTATAAAGAGTAAAACAAAAAAGAAATTACTCAAAATGTCTCCCTTTTGCCTTAATAAACGCATTTAATCTCCGTGGCCAGTCATCAATATCGGCACGCCGCACTTCTTGAGAAATGCGTTCGACTGCTCAGACCAGAGATAGTCCATGGCATGCCATCCTCTCTAGTTCGGACCAAAGCCGATACTCTAGTGGTTTGAGATCAGAGCTTCCTGAGGGCCAATCCAAGGCAGAGATGAACTCTGGAATATTATTTTGCAGCCATTGCAGAGTTGACCTGGCCTTGTGAGCTGGAGCGGAATCCTGCTGGAAAATCCAATGACTTTTAGCAGTGCAACATTTAGAGGTTTGGCAACATGTTTCAAAATATCGTCCTGGTAGTTTTTAGCGGCAGTTTTAACTTCATTTTCATAAAAATGGAGCTTCATAATGCCATCAAAGCAAACTCCCCATCAAACCATCACTGAGGAAGGGTGATGATCTCTTTCTACTCTTCCAATGACTTCCTGGGCTTCTTTAGAGGTGTGTGTGTACACACGATCATTTTGGCTAGTAAACTTTTCTCATAGCTAAACATAGCTAAATAGCGATTGCGTTACGGCCAAGGAGTACTTTGCATCTATCCATTATAATTTGTTTAGCCTTTATTCTGTCATTCTTCGAAATGCACCCATCCTAAGGTCACTTTTTATTATACGAGACATTGATCTGATTCCCATTTCCCGAGACATGATTTGTTATTTTCGAATGGGATTTCTTCTGATTCGAGCAGTCTCATTATATCTATTTATAGTGCGGTACACGAACATACCGCTAATAGCCAAAGGTTTCAAAGTGCTGAAAATCTCTGACTTATATTTTCCAACTTTGTGTAAGCCTATCACAGCTATTCCGTTTGCTTTATCACCCCACTCCATGTTAACTGAGCGAAAGAACTAACTAATACAAACTAATTGGGATTATTATCCTGACATGTAATGAAAATAACCTGATAGAGGAAAGGATTATCTAAATAATACCCACGCAAAACAAAGTTCACACACAAAGTTCAAATACGTTTGTAACAGTATTTACGGCAGAATTAGTTATGATACTATTATTTGATGTCTTTGGACACAATTACTTTTACATTTTAGATCATATATATCACTCATTAAATTCAGCAATACAAAAACTCTAAAAAGACTTAAAATAGTAAGATTAACTACAGATCAGAAATTGTTTAAGGTTTCAAAGCAGTCGAAATATTAAATAAAATATTTTGATGAGAATAATGATGACGAGGAACGTAGTATAACATTCTATTCTATATATCTTTCATAGTTGAATTATTATTTCCCAAAAATCTTAAAACAAAATTATTGAAAACAAAAAAATAAAATGGTTTGCATCGACATTGGAAGGAAAACATCATGACGGAATTATCAAACGTTGAAACAGAAAAATTTAGTTCGTTTTAAATAGTCAATAAATTATAAATATAATGAAAAATTTGAAATATTCGGTTCAATCAACAAAATCTATGATATTTCGTTTATGATTGGTCAAATGGATTTTTTTTGGTTTAAATGTCTTGATTTTCGAATACTAAAAAAATGTATAACTAGCAAGTATAAATAAATAAAAAAATATAAGGAAGAAGAGCGAAATAAGTATTTTGTAATTTTCATTCTCTCCGAGATTTGCAAATTTAATTCTGTTGAAACTATAAATTTTAGAAGCGGAGAAGAGATTTAGCTAGTGCCCGACTTGGGGGAGCCTCGTTTAGGGATTTTAAAGTAGCAGCTAAGTTGGAACTTAAACTTTAAAAGCAACTTAAGCTGCACTTACTCCCGAGCTTTGGAAGAGTCCACCACCAGCTTTAATTAACTAAAACCTGATAACCCTTGGTCGCTGTACTTTGCAGGCAACAACTCTTTGGTCGTCGATGCTATTTCTGTCTTACCAGGAACTGTCAAGGGGTTCACTGCAATTCTAAATAAACATATTCTGTATTACACCTCACAATTTACTGATGAAAAAAAATTTAAACGATAATAAATATAAAAGTTTAATATTAGTTTAGATAATAGGCCTATGCTAATAATAAGAAGGGGAGAGCGGGCTTAAAGTTTTTTTTTAACAACCTGAAATATTATTTAGAAAATTATATATTAACAAAATGTATGCTAGCTTATAATTTGTACATGGATTCTTCTTTATAAATCAGAATGACTTTTGGATATAGCTTGCTCATATGTTACCTCATACATATGGAGGTACAGGATCATAGAGAAAATTCCTGTCTTTATCGACCTTACTAATAGTCCGTGGTATATTTATATAATTATTAACATCCGCTGAAAACATCGTGAATAGCTTCATCTCAACGTAAACTACAACTTTTTTATTTATGAAACTTAAAAAAGCCTCCTAAAGGGGGGCTTTTCAATCAGGAGATCGATAAATTTTGTCTATTTAATTAGGTACTAAAAACCAGATATGGGCAAATGCTACTTTGAGTACTAAGTATTTTACTCAAATACTTACCATTTTTGAGTACCAAAGAGTTTAATGATTTAATTCGAATAAAATACACTGTACTCGGTACTCAAAGTAGCATTTACCCAGCTCTACTAAAAACTCATGAACTCCCATTTGCTTTCCATTTGGAACATAAGATAAGAATGTAAGGTGGCTTTAAAAAATATTGGGCGGTTTGGCGTCACCTTTATCCTCAATATGTCAAAATAACGAGGTTATATATATATATAGGCCAAACATATATTTTTGTATAATTAATTTAACGAGAAAACCCCATTTCAGATAATTTTCGCAGATAAAAAAATCGAAGGTTACCATAAGATGAAGGCCTTCCCGAAATTTTAAGCGGATAATAATAATTTTATAAAAATGGGTCTGTACCACGGATTATAATTATAACAGAACATCTTAACGTAAAATTTAATAGAGTTTATTTTATGTTTTCTGGGGGCCCTCCCATAGTCAATTTCTGGATCCGCCCTTGACTAACTGAGATAACAGAGGTTTTATACTATTGTATAGACCATTTAAAGATCACTTAGGTGATAATTTGTTGTAAAAATTAGTTACAAATAAGTCATGCCATGAATTTAGGACATCTATCCAACTGTGGTATGAATCATTAGAACTATGCTGGATCATGATACTCGTGTCGAAATATTTAAAAAATACTTTATTCTGTCTCCATCCGTCGAATTTTGAAATCTAATATTTTCAATGGCTATAATAAGTAATTGTAGTAAGTCTTTAAATTGTGAATCATCAATCATCCAAGAAATTCTCTTTCGTTTGATACATCGTTTCATCAAAATCGCTCACGAGAGCCGGAAAAGGGATCAATACATATATTTATATCTGCCTTAATATAAATAGAGCAGGACCTTCACATATCATCGCCTCTGGTGTTATTCGAAGGAAATATTTTCACATAAAAGTTTAAATGTAAAATATTTCGAGAAGAAAAAAAATTAAATTTAAATTAATGAATACCTCTATTTCATACATATTTTTTTTAATGAAAAGAGGGTGAGAAAGACCTCGGAAGAGAAGTTTAGACAGTTTTGAAAAATGAAATCAATCAAAACTTTATACAACAAACTTTCTCCCAACAATCTACAATATTCAAGTTCTACATTAGCAATATACATAGTATATGTTTATTTTTGTTTTCCCTTTTTAAAAGATAAATCTAGTTTTCAGACTTGTAGCCAAAATATAAACTAAGCGGTAGGTTCTGGCCACAGCCTGGAACATGATGGATTGAAGAATATTTTTGTAGATTTAGTTAAATAAGTTGCCTAAAGTTATAAATAAATAAAAATTAATTATAGAATAAAATCAGGACATGAAAAAAAGAAAGATTCAACAATGAACTGAGAATTTTTCTGTTTATAAAATTGGGAAAAAGTTTTAAGTAAAAAAATTTAAAAACAATTTTTTCATCAAAACATCTCATAATAATAAAAAATCTGGGGATTGAAAAAAAAGATCAATTCTTCACAAAACAGGAAACAACAAATAAATGATAAACAAGGAGACAATTAATAAAGTTTAAAGTTGTATATAACGAATATTCCTTTTGTTAGTGGAGTAAGGTTTTTGTGTTATTTTTTAAGTGTTTTTTAAAAATTACAAAATGCGAAATTAATTTTTAAGAATAACATTTTTCGTTAATTTATAGAAGAAACGGTGATGCGTTTAACATATACAAGAAACGGTGATGCGTTTAAAATATATTAAGTAAATCAATTGGTTTTAATATTAAATATTCAAAATATCCAGAAACAAATTGAAGACATAATATAATTAAAATAGCTTCGTCTAAATATTTGCATTACTAAGTATGTAAAGGATTAAGAGATGAAATATTGTGTGGTTTTTTTTTTATATAGTATGAAAAAAAAAGAGTCTTGACACATTATTACTTGTTACAAAAAAAACAACAACTTAAGATTGATTTTCAAGGTCAACGATGACACCGAATCGTCAGTCTTTTATAAAAACTATAGTCAACTAAATATAAATTTGAATATTAATTGTTATTTATAACTTTGTTCAAGAATCTTTCTGTCAGGAGTATATATTTGATCTGATCTATTAACTTTGTCCTCAACATCCAAAATCCTCAACATCCTTTACCAGAGACAGAGACGAATTCTCCAGACAAACCTAAGAAAAAGTCCTTAATACGGTGGAGACAAAATAGCGTAAAGAAGAATAAAATTCTCCCCACTGGAGAAAAAAAAATGATTATCATTGTATTTATGATTTTAATTTTTGTATGTCCTTTAATTTGAATAAAGATAGATAGATAGATAGATAGAGAGAGAGAGAGAGTGAGAGAGAGAGAGAGAGAGAAAGATGAAAAACTTAAAAAAATAAATGATCATACAAATGAGTTGGAAATCAGTTGCATGGTTCTTTATTTATTTCTTTTTTTATAACATATTTTTCACTTTTTATTTTTCGTACTTTCTAACAAAATGTTGATGCCTATAATTTAAAATTTGTAAAACTTTACAAATGAAACTATAATTCGAAAATAATGAAAATAAAGAAATATATGTACATAAAACAGATTGTCTACCTAGATTTCAAAACTAGTTCAAACAGTTGACCCTTTGCCCCGCTCAATATCACACCGATTTATAAATATGGTACAGTTTAGTTCCACAATTATGTTTTTGGTAAACTTGAAAAAAATTAATTTAATCATAAAATCATTAGTCGAAAAAAAACTATACGAAATATTTACTATATGATATAAAGAAATTATATTATAATCTAAATAAAAAACGTATTCAGTTTATAAAGGTCCGTTAATTAATAATTATATATTCACACACAAACGTTTATCAATTTACACCTCACAATAGATACGCAATATAACATACGTCACAGTACA